TGCAATGTGGGGAACAGTTTCAAACAAGCTGGGCAAGGAAAACCTCAACAAGAGAAAATGTAATATGCCCGTGAGCAGATGAGGCTCAAGATTCAAATCAAACAGAAAATGAAAAAAAACAAAAACAAAAAAACAATACCGTAAACTAGATTTCACCATGTTTCTGCCATCTATCCATTCACTCCCAAGTACAAAAGAAGGGAGGATTTCATATGATGGCCACATATACCATTTTTAAACTTTAATCATCAAGGCTTACAACCTTATTTTTCTACAGAAAAATAAGTTACCTCTGGTCTTGCTTTTGTCTCTTGAAATTTCCATCGTTCTTGCCAGAAAGCAGCATCTGTATAAATCCCCCTGCTTTCGACAACTCTGACTTCTTTGATAAACTACCCATGTGTGTGGGGAGGGACAGAAAGATGGAAGAAGCAAATGGGGAAATGAGTTTTCCCCTCTTCAGATTAATGTATATGAAGTATACATCTGACACTTCATCAGCACTCCCGGCTGGTGTCCCAGCAGGCGGACACTGGCTGAGCATGTATCCTGCCAGCTACCAGGCTACTTAGGATGAATTGGCAACATGCCATTTATCTGAAATGCCCAATGTGTCTGGGAGAGGGAGCACAACTACATTTAGCATTGCCAAGGAAAACTAGATACTTCAGGCTAGGAATTAATCTCCTCCTTGAGAAGGTAGTTAGCATTACCCTCAAGCTTGCCGATGGCATTTAAATCACTATAGGTCATGCATTTACTAAAATTCATACCTACCAAACCACAAGGCCTTCATTTATATCTTACTAACATATCAATACCTCTCAGGTTGAGAGTCTGGACTTTTCTGAAACGTTTATTGTTGTGTTGAACAGCAAATTCTGGTTTATCAAGTGCAATGCTTGTCATTTGGACAGAAATCACTTTGATTCCAGGTTTTCCAATTTTTCCACACTTGACGACACACATTGCTTCAACTTACTTCTTCCAGGAACCGACAAAACATTTAAATCAACGTGAGCACATCAGGACTACTTACAAGCATATCAATCACATTTCCTTGAATGTGGACGGTGACCCTCTCTTGACGAACTGGGTCACCCTGTTTTTTGAGTGGCGGGTGTGGAACTACATGGAATTTGGCTCATTACACGGACTTCAGGGCTAATGGCAAATGTAACACAGAGAACAGCAAAAACAAAGAGGTTTTTAGATGGATGATCTTATTAGGCTACCCATTCCAGCACACAGAACCACAACATCACTCTTGCCTTGCAACTAAAGCCATCTGTCACTTTGTAGGAGTAATTATTCATTCCATCAGCCCTATTTATTGAATGCCTCGTACACGCAAGGAGTTGTGCCAGGAGCAATGAGAGGTCCAGAGTCAGAGCAGACAGGAATTCTGCCCTCAAGGAGCCTGCAGTCTAGCAGAGGGTATTAGGCACCAACACAAAGAACTAAAACAAAGGTGCATGATGATAAACAAGAGTTTGAAGGAAGGGTGATTTACAGCTCGGAGACAGGGGCAAGGGGATTGAGGATAGCAGCCTGGAGAGAGGGTCCCAGTGAAGCATGTTGTACTGTTCAGTGCAACATGCGAAACATCACTTGTTTAGAAGGAAAAGGGAAAAAAGGAAAAAAAGAACATAAGTTCTAGTGAGTAGACATTTCCACCTCTGGAGCATCATTCTCTATCACTACAGAGATAGTAAGTTGTAATCAGGAAGATAATTTAGATGTAATCCAATCCAAGAAATATGAAACAGATTAACTTTAATAGTTCTGCAAAAGGTATCAAAAGCAGGAAAGGTCATTAACCTGGACTGAGTGACATAGGGAGAGAAATCAGCAATATAGCCAGAAACGTGGGCAGATCGCAGAACAAAGAGGAGATCAAGATGGTGCTCTGCCTGATAGCTCTCTCCAGCTGCTGCTACTCTTTTGAAGATGGAATGGGAGGGGGTCGCAAGGGGAGATGACTTGGTCATACAGCCTGCAAACAGTTTCCCTTAAACTACAATTGGGAAGCAATGAATCCTCTAAAGGAAAGATATGATGAGGGTTACATGTTAAACTTCCACTGTCCAGCAGTAAATGGTTAACCAGAGTCTGGCTTCAGTTATCAAGCTTGCCAACCAAAGGTTAGCAACAGAAGTAATAATACTGCTAACATTTGAGACTTGTTATGTGCCAGGTACTATTTTAAGTTTGCTCCCTATGGTATTTTAGCACTTTATCTAGTTTTGCTCTCAAGCAAACAGTAGAAAAACTTGCAGGGCGGATAAGCCAATAATTTAATGACTCTTTGCTAAGAATCTCAGCAGATTTTAGGGAGTATTCTTTTGTATTTTCTATTAATAGTTCCCTTTATCTTTTTATCTTATTCCCAAGCCTGAGGTCACCTGACATGTGTTTTAAGAATGAATGAATCAATTTCTGTTTCTGAGTATGTGACTACCAGAATTAGATAAGATATATTCCTTTCAACAGTGCTGTTTTAAACAGAATCATTTACTTGGCAATAAACATACAGGATTACCATCTAAGTGTCAAGAGTCATGTTGCAGTGACCGAAAAGCACTTCTGTTTAAAACAAAAAGTCACTGGGGTGACCAGGTGGCCCAGTCGGTTAAGCATTCAACTTTGGTTCAGGTCACGATTTTGTGGTTGGTGGATGTGAGCCCTGTGGATTTGAGTTAGGCTCTATGCTGACAGCTGGGAGCCTGGAGCCTGCTTAGGATTCTGTGTCTCCTTCTCTCTCTGCTCCTATTCTGCTTGCACTCTCTCTCTCAAAAAAAAAATCATAAAAAAGTTTTTTAAAGCACTAATTCTGAAAACTTTCCCTCTTTCCTTAAAAAAGTAAATGTTTTCAGTAAAATAAGCTTTTCATAAAATTCCCCAAGAAGAAAAAGTAGCACTGAACTTGAGGATGGAATGAAGGCAAACCCTAACGACCACTGTTGTAAACATACCTTTAAATATATGTCCCCAAATTTTCATGAGAGGAAAAAGATGAACTTTGATTTAAAGATCACAGTCAATTTTCAGTCATAAATTTTCCGAGAGAAACTTTTTTAGGGATAATAATTCACTATGTTCAGTATCTTTATTATTCTAGAAATAAAATCAGGGAATTCCAAAGTTGAATTCCAGAGACTGTTTAAATATCCCTTGTCATCTTGCAGATGCAGCTGAGTTGATAAAATCTGAGAAACTAAGTGATCTGTCCAAGTTTATACAGCTACATAATGGCAGTAGGAAGACTAGAATCTCAACCTAAATCAAATCCTCGATTACTGAATAATTCTCTGATATTCAACTTAATTTATTACTAATGCATAAGATTATAAGGCACCATAATGCACTGATATATTATTTGCATCATCATCGGTAAAATATGTTTAAAAACCTATTCCCATACCATACAACCCTACCATTAGAGCAAAAATAACTTGTATGGACTTCTAGGCTGTGTCAAAGGTTTAAGTAGAAAGTAATATTCCCAGGAGAAAAAAAACTTCTAGTACCCACTGTGATTGAAAATAAAGATGAGGGGTACCTGGACGGCTCAGTCTGTTAAGTATCCAACTTGGGCTCAGGTCATGATCTTACGGTTCTTGAGTTCAAGCCCTACATTGGGCTCTGAGCTGACAGCCCAGAGTCTGGAGCCTACTTTGGATCCTGTGTTTCCCTCTCTCTTTCTCTCTGTCCCTCCCCTGCTCATGCTCTGTCTCTCTCTCTCTCTCTCTCTCTCTCTCTCAAAAATAAGCAAACATTTAAAAAATGTTTTAAAAGAAAATAAAAATGAACACTGGAAAAAATGAAAAAAAAATGCAAGAGTCCAAACTACTAACATATATACAAATATGTATGCCATTAGCCAAGTTGTAAATGTAGAGTGCTGAGGTTGGCATAATCACCATTTTCAATTACTACACACACAAAAAATTGTCCAAGCAAGAATCACCAATGGATGAGAAATCTAGAGGAAATTTTTGAAGAAATATGTTCACAAGGCCTGAAATCTATCTCTCTCCAGAATGGTTATTGTTTACAAGAGAAAAAGTCTAACTACAGTAGAGAAAACAAATACCACCATGACTGGGGAGGAGGGAGGTGGAGGGAGATTAACATCACAATGAAGGACAGATGGACATCACAGACCTGCACAAGGCAAGCCCTGAAAGGAAACATCACCACCATATCCTATTCTGGCCTGGAATGCAAAATGTGCATTTCCCCAAGAGGAAACATCACACATATTAGACAAGTGTAATAGGAGAAACATTACATTTTTTTTAATTGAGAGGAGAACTATAGTCTTCAAAAACGTCTTTGTCAAAAAAGGCAAAGGAAAGCTGTGAAAAACTTCCAGACTGATAGAGACTAAATAGATATGATGATTAAATGCAATCTATGACTCTAGACTGAATCCTCTACTGGAGGAAGAATGCCATACAGGACATTAGTGTGCCAATGGATTAAATGGAAATACAGAATACAGCATACATAAAAGGCTTATGGCAGCCATAAATTTACCACTGTTTATAACTGTGATAACAAATGGCCACAATACATACAGTTTACTCCCAAAAAGAAAAGTTATGTGAGTATGTGTACATATATATGCATGTACACACATATGTATGTATCTACACCGACATATATACAAGGAGAGATAAAACGCAAATGATAACGCATATTTGGCAAGAGATTAATGGCTGAATCAAAGTGAGGATCCACCATGTTTTACTTATTTTTTCATCTTCTTGCAACTTTACAGTAAGCTTGGAATTATTTTCAAACAAAGTATTTAAGATACAAAGCTCAAAAACATTTTCATTTCTTTTGAAGGAAGAAAGGAGACAGCCAAGTAGAAACACTCCAGATTAGGTGGGAAGGCTGGAGACGAGACTTGTAAAAAATTAGCACACTCAAAGCAAAATTTCACATTGACAAATCTGTGCTTCACGTTGAATGTGGTTTTAAGTTCAAACTTAGTTAAACTCAGCAAACTTAAAATAGTCGCCAGGAAGGTGGAGAGATGAAATTACCCCGATGCTGTGCGGACAGAGGCAGAGGACACTCACCAGGTTGGCAGTGAGCGAGGGCGCCGACTGGCCCAAGGCCTGGCTGCGCATGCGCACGAGGTTGGACGTCTCCGCCGAGGTCGCCCAAGCCTGCCCTGCCACGGGGTTTGGAAGCAGGTACCTCCCTGTTGGGGTGAAACAGAAGACAGTGTAAGTGGCAGGCAAAACATCAGTACTGCTGTGGCAACGGCAGGTCCCATCTTGGCCATCCTTCTATACTGCTTCTGTCATATTCCTTATATTTATTAATAGCAACAAGAGGAATATTGTTTTAATTAAGTCAGGAGATCCAGTCACAAGTTGTGACCCTAATTTTCCACATAAACTCAAGTAAACCTCTTCCCCTCCAGTATGTGTACCTTTCAACCAGGACAGGATAAAGCACCTTGGTACTTCTGCCTAAATTCCATAGGAACTTGGCAAGGATACATATAAACCCATAAAGCATTCTCAGCACCACAGAAGGAAACGAGCACTTACAAACGGACTTTTTGAATAGCTAATATGAAAAACTGATCCCAAAATCAACAAGAAAAGAGTTGACAAAGTAGAGATCATGGTCAACAAAAGAAAGAGTTGAAATTCTGTCAAGGTGAAATGGGGCTGGTGCCTCTTTGTCAAAGCTTCCCTCTCTTAAGAACTGATGGTCATCCAACCATGTCCACAGGACACACATGGTACCTATCTGCATAAATCAGGACATCAATGTCAGTCTAGGTTCACTGAGCAATTTACATCAACCTTGAACTCTAATGTATCTGTACATCTTTAAAAGTCAAACAGTTGAACCAATTTACATTGCATTACTTCCTCACTACAAGAACCAGACTAGTTACCAATGCACAAGAAACAAGGCTTTTTTTTTTTTTTAAGTTTATTTACTTATTTTGAGAGAGACAGAGACAGCATGAGTGGGGGAAGGGCAGCTGGCAAGGGAGAGAGAGAATCCCAAGCAGGCCCTGCACTGCCAGCACAGAGCCTTATGTGGGGCTCAAACCTGTGAACCCATGACATCATGACCTGAGCCAAAACCAAGAGTTGGACGCTTAACCAACTCGGCCATGCAGATGTCCCAAGAAATAAGGCTTCTTGACTTCAGGAAGTTGGGATGGATGTGAATATTCACACAGTAATGGAGCTCAGTGAAAGTAGAACCCATGAGTGATTTTTAACTGTTTCACCCTAATACATGCACAGTGACTGGCCATAGTAGGTGCTCATTAAATATCCACCGAACGATGAAAGAACAAACAGGCACATCTTTCCCAAACAACAAATAGGCACAAAGAAAGGATGACAGGCAACATGGAGAAACTCACCCAAAGACTGGGGTGAGAAGGAGGGGTGCTCCAGCCACATACCTCTCAGAAACATGAAGGAATGCCATCATGTGTGGCTGATGACCCCGCAGCAGAGGCAATATTTGGATCTCCCCTGGCAGATACCAGAGCCTCACTCTCTTACCTAGGCATACACTCTACAAGCCTACCCCAGTGGTTAATAATTGTTGCAATCTATTAAGTGATTTGCTGGCAGTGTGCATGGTAACTACCAGCACTATCAAAGTGCAGAAGTGAGCTGCTGCTGGCATCACTGTCCATGCTAAGAGGTCTAATGCTTGAATTCAAGTGCTTTCAGAAATGTGTATCTTAAGGGCAAAGGAAACAATTAACTATTTTGACAAAGTTTCTCTTTTGCTCCATTGTATAGGGAAAGCGCACTCTAGAGAAAACGAGATCGACTTTTTAGATCCTAATCTTGCCTCAGTGACAACAGGGAAGGAAGTTAGTCAGTGTCTCCTGACCTTGGTTTTTCTGTCTCTAAAATGGAGAGAATGGAGTTGATTGTTGTTGAGGGGACTACAGAATTTCCTAACTAAAATGCTCAATAAATGTTAGCCACATAGCCCGAACAGTAGTGAAAATGTTAAGTACCATTTTTACTTGGGCTTGGTTACTTTTCACTCCTAAGTAGGTAATGTAAATATAAAGGAAAAAAAGTCACCTATAATCACACCAGGGAAAACCACTATCAACATTTCAATGATTTTCTGCCAGGCTGGCTTTCTCCAACCTGTATTTTCTTGCAAAAAGGGGATCATACTGATGTCTGTCACCTGCTCCCCTCAACTTCACATAACACATTATGAACTCTCGCAACCAAATAAATAGAGGAAATACCAATTAACTGAAGCATAAATTCTATCAATGAAAATTCAAATATAGTTACCCTCTGTCATTCTGATCACCACCTCAAAAACACTTAAGTACATTTTTAAGCAGGAATAGATCAGAAAACTGAAGTCCAGAATTTTTTTTTCTTGGCCTTATTTTAAAACATGAACTAAAAGCTGGACTAAGAGGGGCTTTGGGCAATCTGTCCCCTTTAGATCTAAAGGCAGGACATTAATAAAGAAGGATAAGAAAACCAAAGACTACATTTAAGAACATTAAGATCAGTATTACAGGAAAAAATGACCTAAGATAGAAATATTTTTATTTGAAGGACATCATTTGTTAAAAATATACCAACCTCCAGTAATCAGAATCCATAGATTATTTTCTTTTCCTCCCTTCTATTTCTTTTCCTATATTTTGTTTTATATTTTCTTTGTTCATACTTCAGAAAGAATCCTGGTAGGAGGCATATAATCTATGTAACGCCAAGATTTACATGATATAGAAAATATACTTTCGCCTCACCATAGCTCTGCCCATACGCTTCTTTAAGAAAAACAAAAAACAAAACAAACAACTAAGGGTAGATATGAAAATAGCTGAAGAACTTAATTAGCAATGGAAAAACTTACAATGCAAACATTTCAGTTCACTGAATAATTTTATAAATCAGTCCTTTCTCTTCTCTTAGGAAGTAATTATTAGACTATCTCTGTATAACCCTCAAGAAGAAAAACATATAATTTATTTCTATATCCTCAGTACCAGGCACAGTGCCTGGCACTTAGTAAGTGCTCAGTAAATGTTTGTTGCCTGAAACGCAGCTAAACTACACTATTTGACCAATGCTTGATCAAATGTAAACAAAAAGAATAAAACTAAACAGATCATTTTTCTTAATTTCATTTGGAGCAGACCCCAAAAGCTAAAAATCCACTGAGAACTTACTGTATGCCAGGCACTTCCAATATCTTAACAATCCTGTGGTGTACTAGGGAATATTATCTCCACTCTAACACCCAGAGAGCTCTTAAGTGGGTAAGTTAATATATGTGTCATGTATACACATATATGATATATATGTGTGTGTGTGTGTGTGTGTGTATATATATATATATCATATATGTCTATATAAACCTCCTAGAGAGAAAGAGAGAACATTTCTGAAAAGATGAGAAATGGTAGCAGATTGGATTAAATGAGATAATGCATTGAATGCACTCAAGCTGGGACATCGGAAATAGTCAATATACTACTATCACTACTCAGATTAGAATTTGTTAACTCCAGCAACATTATCTACCATCACCCTAGCAACAAAACAAGGCAAATGTGTTCTCAGACCACAAAAAAAAGAAAAATATTTAATAAAATTAAAATAAAGAATAGTATTTCTTTGTGGAAAGGATAAACAGCCAATTTGGAATTGAAGTTATCTCTGGCAGGGAAAATGGGGAGTGGGCCCAGGGAGGAGTATGCTTTAATATTTTATGGTTTTAAAAATCATACGCAGGTGATAATGGGGTCATGAGTTGAACTTAAGAGTTTAAAGAATTAAGTTTTCACCTGTGGCTTTAATATTTTAATATTAAATTTTGTTAATACAGCTGAAGAATGTGGCAAATAGTAAGTTTAGCTAACAATGGCTGGCGAGTATGTGCGTTGTAATGAATTATCCTCTATTAATTTCTGAATATGATATTATATAATGTTGCTTTTAATGATTCCTATCAAAACATGTGCTCCATAATCTAATACGGCCAACTACCAGAGTTACATCCCTTCCCCTGCTGAGGCCACGTCAGGAAGGATCTGCTGATGCAGGAAATCTCTGATGAGTCTGGGTGGGGAAGTAAAGAGCCAAAAGGAACCCAGAGGACACTTACAGGGTGCCAGTATGAAAGTGATGGCAGCTGTGATGGGGAAAGTCTCCCTTTGTGTCACTGGGTGAAGGGAACGGAAGCAGGGAAAGTTCTCGAATAAATCCTCAGTGGAGGAAATTCACACACCAGGATCCTTGCTCGGTGAGTCCAGGCAGGCTTCAGGTGGGAGGGGCACAGGCAAGCAGAATGGCCTCCCTTACCTCTGCATACTCCAAAGCACACTTTGAACATTTCAATTTCATTAAATCTCAAAGGACACTTGAAAGCTAGCAGAGACAACTGCTATTGGGACCCCCTGTACCCTCCCCTCCTCCGAAGTCACTCTGTCTACCAATACTACGTACATTTTTTAGGCTACCAGACCATGCGTCAGTCTCATCTAGGTTACAACGCCAGACGTGGACCTTGTCAAAGAAAAACAAGGTGTGATGCTCAAGTGGGAAGGACAGATTTTAATAGGTAATAACTACTCAACAGGAAAAAAGAGTCCAGTGTGAACTGAACTCACCTTTGATTTGTACACAATTAACTGAGTGTTTGCTGAGGAGAATGAAGGAGTAGGGCAGGGAGCCAGCAGGGGCTCAGTCGAGTCAGGGAAGTGAAAAATTACAAAGGGTTAGTCAGTGTAACTGCCATCAGGCCAACTCTGTCTGCCAGCTGGCAAATACTGAAAATTCAGATTCTTATCCTCCCACACAGGCTGACAGACAGAGACCCTACCCGTTAGCCCAAACAAACAAAAATTCTGAGAGCCTTGAGTTTTCCTGGGAAAGGCACTTTAAGAGGACTAGGGTCATCCTACAGATATCACCTTGAACTTGAACCTGTGCTGTGTGTTCATGTCTATTGGTGTAAGGCTGGAGCCTGGTTGAGAAGGAGGGCTCAGAGGAGCCTGGCTAGACTTTGGTAAAGGAGAGACTGACAGGCCTCAATCTTTTTATTACATCAACAGACCCAAATCCAAAGAAGACATTTTGATGTTCAGTAGCTCTTCCATTTTTGAATTCAGTTTGAACTAAGTTTTTCAACTTGGTCCATGTATTAATCTCATACAATCTTCAAACC